TAAGGGTCTCCGATTTGGGAAATCTGTGTGTCTTAGGAAATGAGAGATATTGAGTCTCTGATATGGGAGATAAGCCTACTTTAAATTTGGGAGATCTGATCTGTGTGTCTTAGATATGAGAGATCTGCGTATCTTAGATATGAGAGATCTGTGTGTCTTAGATATGAGAGATCTGTGTGTCTTAGATATGAGAGATCTGTGTATCTTAGATATGAGAGATCTGTGTGTCTTATTACATTGGAAGACATGTTTCTTATAATTAGGAGATCTTCATGTTTTAGATATGGGAGATCTTCATGTGTTAGATATGGGAGATATGCGTGTCCTAGGATTTGAAAGATCTGTGTCCTCGACATGGTAGATCTTCGAATCTTAGATATGAGAGATATGTGTGTCTTAGATATGGGAGGCTTGTATATCTAATAATATGGGAGATCTGTGTGTCTTAGATATGGGAGGCTTGTATATTTAAGGATATGGGAGATCTGTGTCTTAAAGATAGGAGATCTTCTTGTCCTAGATATGGAAAGTCTTTGTGTCTAAGATATGGGGGATCTTCGTCTTTTAGATATGAGATATCTACGTGTCTTTGATATGGGTGATGTGTCTTTGATGTTGGAGATCTATGTGCCTAAGATATAGGAGACCTGTTTGTCTTGGATATAAGAGATATGTGCCTTACAAATGGGGAACTTCATGTCCCTAATATAGGAGTTCTACTCAGATAAGAGAGACATGTATGTCTTTTATATGGGAGATATGTGTCTCTTTGATTTAGAAAATTTGAGGGTCTTAGATATGAGTGATCCTATCTTTGTGTCTTAGATATGGGAGCTCTGTGTGTGTCTCCGATATGGAGATCTGTGGGTGTCTCAGAAAGGGAGATCTGTGAATCTGAGATATGGATAAACTGCGTATTCTAGATGTGGAAGATCCGTGTCTCGTAAAAATTAGAGATATGTGTTTTGAATATAGAAGCTCTTTATGTCTTAGATATGGGAGATCAGCGTGTGTTAGGTATTGGAGAATGTATTATTGACGTAGAAGATCTTTGTGTCCTTAGAAATGGGAGAACTGTGTGTCTCGGATATAAGAGAATTGTGTCTTAGTTATGATAGATCTGATTATTTTAAATATGAAATATCTATGTGTCTAAAATATGTCTTAGCTTTTATGTCTTAGATATCTATATGTCTAAAATATGGCTTAGCTTTTATGTCTTAGATATCTATGTGTCTAAAATATGGCTTAGCTTTTATGTCTTAGATATCTATGTGTCTAAAATATGGCTTAGCTTTTATGTCTTAGATATCTATGTGTCTAAAATATGGCTAAAATGTAGCTGTTTATGTCTTAGATATCTATGTGTCTAAAATATGGCTTAGCTTTTATGTCTTAGATATCTATGTGTCTAAAATATGGCTTAGCTTTTATGTCTTAGATATCTATGTGTCTAAAATATGGCTTAGCTTTTATGTCTTAGATATCTATATGTCTAAAATATGTCTTAGCTTTTATGTCTTAGATATGGGATTCTTGTTTGTTTTAGATTTGGGGGAATGTGTTTTCGATGTGAAATATCTATGTGTCTTAGATATAGGAGACATGTGTATCCTGGATAAGGGAGATGTGCATGTGGGTGATCTGAAAGTCTTAGATATAGGAGACATGTGTATCCTAGATAAGGGAGATGTGCATGTGGGTGATCTGAAAGTCTTAGATATAGAAGACATGTGTATCCTGGATAAGGGAGATGTGCATGTGGGTGATCTGAAAGTCTTAGATATAGGAGACATGTGTATCCTAGATAAGGGAGATGTGCATGTGGGTGATCTGAAAGTCTTAGATATAGAAGACATGTGTATCCTAGATAAGGGAGATGTGCATGTGGGTGATCTGAAAGTCTTAGATGAAGATCTACGTGTTTTATGTATGGGAAATGTGTCTTTGATGTAGGAGATCTATGTTTCTTAGATCTGTGTATTTTATATACGGGAGAACTTCCACAGATAAAACTGGCTGTCACCCAAAAATAACAATAAATGATGAAGAAATTTAAAATGTCACAAACTTTGAATATCTAGGCTCTATAATAAACAACAATGGAAACTGTTCAACAGAAATTGAAAGGAGGATGGCCATTGCAATGCAAAGATTGAACAGCCTTAAAAGTCTATGGTTAAGCACCAGCAAGGAGATACAAATTAGAATTTTGAGAGCATGCATCTTCCCTGTGGCTACATATGGATGTGAGTCGTGGACTATCTCTCAGTCCTTAAGAAAGAGATTAGGGGTTTTTGAGCTGAAATGCTAAAAAAAAATTCTCAGAATAGCTTGGACAAAGAAGATGAGAAATATCGTCATCTTGAAAGATCTGAACATCAACGAAGATTGGTTAATAAACAACATCCTTTCTCGAAAGCTGAAATATTTTGGTCATATCAATCGGCACGACGGATTGGAAAAAAAATTTAAGCAGAAGGCATGGTACCAGGAAGGAGGGGGCCGACCGACACGAAGATGGGCACAGGATATAAGTGACTCCTTGAGTGTGAAAGTGCATGAGGCGGGAGAGCTGGCGAGAGACCTAGTTTCTTTCAGGCAGACTGTGATGAGAGCGACGTTCTTCAAAGGACCTGCTACATGATGATGATGACGTGTTTTAGATATGGGAAAATGTGTCTTTAATGTTGAAGATGTCTGTTTCTCAGATATAGGAGATATGTGTGTCTTAAATACAAGCAATATGTTGTCATTGATATGTATGTCTTAGATATGTATGTCTTAGATAAGTATGTCTTAGATATGTATGTCTTAGATATGTATGTTTTAGATGTGTATGTCTTAGATATGTATGTCTTAGATATGTATGTCTTAGATATGTATGTCTTAGATATGTATGTCTTAGATATGTATGTCTTAGATATGTATGTCTTAGATATCTGTATCTTAGATATGTATGTCATAGATATGTATGTCTTATATATGTATGTCTTAGATATGTATGTTTTAGATATGTATGTCTTAGATATGTATGTTTTAGATATGTATGTCTTAGATATGTTTGTCTTGGATATGTGTGTCTTAGATATGTATGTCTTAGATATGTAAGTCTTAGATATGTATGTCTTAGATATGTATGTCTTAGTTATGTGTGTCTTAGATATGTATGTCTTAGATATGTATTTCTTAGATATGTATGTCTTATATATGTTTTTCTTAGATATGTATGTCTTAGATATGTGTGTCTTAGATATGTATGTCTTAGATATGTATGTCTTAGATATGTATGTTTTAGATATGTATGTCTTACATATGTGTGTCTTATATATGTATGTCTTAAAAATGTATGTCTTAGATACGTATGTCTTAGATATGTATGTCTTAGATATGTATGTCTTAGATATGTGTCTTAGATATGTGTGTCTTAGATATATGTGTCATTGATATGTGTGTCTTAGATATGTATGTCATAGATATGTATGTCTTACTTAGATATGTATGTCTTACATATGTATGTCTTAGATTTGTATGTCTTAGATATGTATGTCTTAGATATGTGTGTCTTATATATGTATGTCTTAGATATATATGTCTTAGATATGTATGTCTTAGATATGTGTGTCTTAGATATGTATGTCTTAGATATGTATGTCTTAGATATGTATGTCTTAGATATGTATGTCTTAGATATGTATGTCTTAGATATGTGTGTCTTATATATGTATGTCTTAGATATGTATGTCTTAGATACGTATGTCTTAGATATGTATGTCTTAGATATGTATGTCTTAGATATGTGTCTTAGATATGTGTGTCTTAGATATATGTGTCATTGATATGTGTGTCTTAGATATGTATGTCTTAGATATGTATGTCTTACTTAGATATGTATGTCTTAGTTATGTGTGTCTTAGATATGTATGTCTTAGATATGTATGTCTTAGATATGTATGTCTTAGATATGTATGTCTTAGATATGAAATATCTTGGTGTCTTAGAAAGGGGATATCTGTTTGTCTTGGGCATGGAACGGTGTGTCTTTTATGTGGGATATTTTTGTGTCTTAGATATGGGTAATCTACATGTCTTAGATAAAGGGGACCTTTGTGCCTAAGTTATGGGAGTCACATGTCTTTGATGTTGGAGATTTGTATCTTACATGTGAAATCTGTGTGTTATATATGCGAGATTTACGTGTCTTAAATATGGGAGATCTGTGTCTCATACATGGAAGGTCTACGCGTCTTAGATATGGGAGCCATGTGTCTTAGATATGAGAGCCATGTGTCTTAGATATGGGAGCCATGTGTCTTAGATATGTGAGCCATGTGTCTTAGATATGGGAGCCATGTGTCTTAGATATGGGAGCCGTGTGTCTTAGATATGGGAGCCATGTGTCTTAGATATGCGAGCCATGTGTCTTAGATATGTGAGCCATGTTTCTTAGATATGGGAGCCATGTGTCTTAGATATGGGAGCCGTGTGTCTTAGATATGGGAGCCATGTGTCTTAGATATGCGAGCCATGTGTCTTAGATATGGGAGCCATGTGTCTTAGATGTGGGAGATCTACAAGTGTAAAACAAATGAGACCTGTGTGTATTTGTCATCTTCATCTATTCGCCACAGTTTGTTTCTTACGGGAACACCAGCTGGCCAGACCCAGGTACTTTTCTACTGCATGTAGCACATGTTCTGTATTCTGTGTTGCCTGATAGCATGGGCAAAGTTCGGAGTCTGCCATATTAAATTTCTTTTACATACGACTGCTGAGTCTGTGTCCAGTTCGCAATCTAAAAACACGTGTCTGTCACCTGCAAGATGCGTGATGTTTATTTTCAGGTAGAAGCACTGAAACCACGCTCCAGCGAGGGGGACATCAGGCAGCTGGCACTGACACTACCCCACAACGAAAACGACCATATCGATGAAGATGGTCATAGTAACCATGACAACCTCATTGGGGGGATTTACAAAACCAGATCTGCGGAATCAGCCATGACGTCACTGGATGACATTAACACTCTCAGTCATTTAGGCGCAGCCAGTCAACCGAAACACAAGTCTAGAAACATGTAAAGTTGCCTCGATTCACTGAATCTTTGTTAAATAGCCTATCTTTCCCCAATTCTCTACAAATATGTATGTTTCACTTGACTTATTTTGTATGTGAATGTGTGTCTCACCACACTAATTCTCTACAATAATGGTCGTCACCATTCACCTACTCTCTAAAAACCTACATATATCACTTTATTATTTGTCAACAAGTATGTATCTCTCACTTCAGTAATTCTCTATTAAAATGAATATCTACTAATTCTCTGAAAAACATGTATGACTCACTTAATTTTGTCAAAAAATATGTTTGTTGAACTTCACTAATTCTCTGCTAACATGTATGTTTCAATTGACTAAATCTCAACAAAGATGTGTGTCTGGTTCACAAAATTGCCACAGACATGTATGGTTTAGTTCACTAATTCCCAACACAAATGTATGTGCCAGTTCATTATTCTCCACTAACTTGCATGTGCCAGTTCATTAATTCTCCACTAACATGTATGTGTCAGGCAATTAATTCTCCACTAACTTGTATGTTTCAGTTCATTAATTCTCCACTAACATGTATGTTTCAGTTCATTAATTCTCCACTAACATGTGTGTGTCACTTCATTAATTCTCCACTAACATGTGTGTGTCAGTTCATTAATTCTCCACTAACATGTGTGTGTGTCAGTTCATTATTTTTCCACAAACATGTGTGTGACAGTTCATTAATTCTCCACTAACACGTGTGTGTCAGTTCAATAATTCTCCACTAACATGTGTGTGTCAGTTCATTAATTCTCCACTAACATATGTGTGTCAGTTCATTATTTCTCCACAAACATGTGTGTGTCAGTTCAATAATTTTCCACTAACATTTGTGTGTCATTTCATTACTTCTCCACAAACATGTATGTGTGAGTTCATTAATTCTCCACTAACATGTATGTGTGAGTTCATTAATTCTCCACAAACATGTATGTGTGAGTTCATTAATTCTCCACAAACATGTATGTGTGAGTTCATTAATTCTCCACAAACATGTATGTGTGAGTTCATTGATTCTCCACTAACATGTGTGTGTCAGTTCATTAATTCTCCACTAACATGTGTGTATCAGTTCAATAATTCTCCACTAACATGTATGTGTGAGTTAATTAATTCTCCACTAACATGTGTGTGTGAGTTAATTATTTCTCCACTAACATGTGTGTGTCAGTTCAATAATTATCCACTAACATGTATGTGTGAGTTAATTAATTCTCCACTAAATTGTGTGTGTCAGTTCAATAATTCTCCACTAACATGTATGTGTGAGTTAATTAATTCTCCACTAACATGTGTGTGTGAGTTAATTAATTCTCCACTAACATGTGTGTGTGAGTTAATTATTTCTCCACAAACATGTATGTGTGAGTTCATTAATTCTCCACTAATATGTATGTATGAGTTCATTAATTCTCCACTAACATGTGTGTGTCAGTTCATTAATTCTCCACTAACTTGTATTTTTCAGTTCATTAATTCTCCACTAACATGTATGTGTGAGTTCATTAATTCTCCACAAACATGTGTGTGTCAGTTCATTAATTCTCCACTAACATGTGTGTGTGTCAGTTCATTAATTCTCCACTAACATGTGTGTGTGTCAGTTCATTAGTTCTCCACAAACATGTGTGTGACAGTTCATTAATTCTCCATTAACACGTGTGTGTCAGTTCATTAATTCTCCACTAACATGTGTGTGTCAGTTCATTATTTTTCCACAAACATGTGTGTGTCAGTTTATTATTTCTCCACATACATGTGTGTGTCAGTTTATTATTTCTCCACAAACATGTGTGTGTCAGTTCATTATTTCTCCACAAACATGTGTGTGTCAGTGTAATATTTCTCCACAAACATGTGTGTGTCAGTTCAATAATTCTCCACTAACATGTGTATGTCAGTTCATTAATTCTCTACTAACATGCATGTGTCAGTTCATTAATTCTCTACTAACATGTGTATGTCAGTTCATTAATTCTCTACTAACATGTATGTGTCAGTTCATTAATTCTCTACTAACATGCATGTGTCAGTTCATTAATTCTCTACTAACATGCATATGTCAGTTCATTAATTCTCTACTAACATGTGTATGTCAGTTCATTAATTCTCTACTAACATGCATATGTCAGTTCATTAATTCTCTTTTAACATGTGTGTGTCAGTTATTTAATTCTCTACTAACATGTGTGTGTCAGTTCATTAATTCTCTTTTAACATGTGTGTGTCAGTTCATTAATTCTCTACTAGCATGTGTGTGTCAGTTCATTATTTCTCTACTAACATGCATGTGTCAGTTCATCAATTCTCTACTAACATGTGTATGTCAGTTCATTAATTCTCCACTAACATGCATGTGTCAGTTCATCAATTCTCTACTAACATGCATATGTCAGTTCATTAATTCTCTACTAACATGCTTATGTCAGTTCATTAATTCTCCACTAACATGTGTATGTCAGTTCATTAATTCTCTACTAACATGCATATGTCAGTTCATTAATTCTCTACTAACATGTGTATGTCAGTTCATTAATTCTCTACTAACATGTGTGTGTCAGTTCATTAATTCTCTTTTAACATGTGTGTGTCAGTTCATTAATTCTCTACTAACATTTGTGTGTCAGTTCATTAATTCTCTTTTAACATGTGTGTGTCAGTTCATTAATTTTCCACTAACATGTGTATGTCAGTTCATTAATTCTCTACTAACATGTGGATGTCAGTTCATTAATTCTCCACTAACATGTGTATGTCAGTTCATTACTTCTCCACTAAAGTGCATGTGTCAGTTCATCAGTTCTCCACTAACATGTGTGTGTCAGTTCATTATTTCTCCACAAACATGTGTGTGTCAGTTCATTATTTCTCCACAAACATGTGTGTGTCAGTTCATTAATTCTCCACTAACATGTGTATGTCAGTTCATTAATTCTCTACTAACATGTGGATGTCAGTTCATTAATTCTCCACTAACATGTGTATGTCAGTTCATTAATTCTCCACTAACATGCATGTGTCAGTTCATCAATTCTCCACTAACATGTGTGTGTCAGTTCATTATTTCTCCACAAACATGTGTGTGTCAGTTCATTATTTCTCCACAAACATGTGTGTGTCAGTTTATTATTTCTCCACAAACATGTGTGTGTCAGTTCATTATTTCTCCACAAACATGTGTGTGTCAGTTTATTATTTCTCCACAAACATGTGTGTGTAAGTTCATTATTTCTCCACAATCATGTGTGTGTCAGTTCATTATTTCTCCACAAACATGTGTGTGTCAGTTTATTATTTCTCCACAAGCATGTGTGTGTGTCAGCTCACTATTTCTCAATTAATAGGCATCTTGAAGACCCTCGAAGCGACGGTGGACGACCCCCCAGACAAGATGTGCATTCTCACTGACTCGCTGGCAGCTGTAATGGCCCTAAAATCAATTGGCAAAAGCAGCCGGCCAGATGTCAAAGAACATATCCTCGTGGCCAGACGTCATAGAACAGATCCTGGTGGCCAGACGTCATAGAACAGATCCTGGTGGCCAGACGTCATAGAACAGATCCTGGTGGCCAGACGTCATAGAACAGATCCTGGTGGCCAAACGTCATAGAACAGATCCTGGTGGCCAGACGTCATAGAACAGATCCTGGTGGCCAGACTTCATAGAACAGATCCTGGTGGCCAGACGTCATAGAACACATCCTGGTGGCCAAACGTTATAGAAACGATCCTGGTGGCCAGACGTCATAGAACAGATCCTGAATGCCAGACGTCATAGAACAGATCCTGGTGGCCAGACGTCATAGAACAGATCCTGGTAGCCAAACGTCATAGAGCAGATCCTGGTATCCACAACTAGACCCAGCAACATGGGCTGCCCCACCATCTTATGCTGGAGACCAGACCACAAAGGTATACCCGGCAATGAACGGGCAGATCAGGCAGATAGAAAAGGGCTATTGAGCCCGGACACTGTCGGACTAGGCAGGCACGTATGTAAGGCCCTGATTGCACAAAAGGTAAACAAAGAATGGATCCATAGGTGGTCGACCAGCAAAAAGGGCAGACATGCCTTCAGGCTCTAAAAGACCCCAGCACCAAGGCACAAGTTAGGGAACCGACAAAGATCCCCACAATTAACCACGTGTGGAGACTTAGACTGGGCTACTGGAAAGAGAAATCCAGCAGCCCTATATGCACCGAGTGTTTGGAGGTCAACAAAGTGTTCACCTGCGACAGGTTTAAAGACCACAGAGCTGACCTGAAAAACCACTTTGAAAAAAAAAAAAAACTATGACAACCACGGCCTGCCTCCATGTGAACTGCAGCCCGCCTATTCAGAACGGTGGAACAATTGATCAGCATAACCAGAGAAGATGATGTATACACCTAACCCCAGAGGAAACAGACGAGAGATCTGACACCAGACGTCCGACCAGAAGTCCAAGGCCAGAGTCACCGGGATCAGAGATATTTTCTCCCTTACCTAGGACTCCACCCTCCGTCCATCAACCTTACTATATGTCCGTCCTTTAACCTTACTATATGTCCGTCCTCCAACCTTACTATATGTCCGTCCTTTAACCTTACTATATGTCCGTCCTTCAACCTTACTATATGTCCGTCCTTCAACCTTACTATATGTCCGTCCTACGCAGCTTTTCAAGCCTTCCACCCCCCCCCCCCCCTGTGTTACTTCACCCCTACTTCTATACCATATGTGGCCAGAAGAAAACTAGATAAAAAAAATTGACAAAAAAAAAAAAAAAAAAAAAGAATTAAACTGAGCAAATAAAAAAAAAAAAAAAAAAGAATAAGGCCTAAAAAAGATCAGGCACATTCAGCTAACGCAAATACACATGTATGATGCGAAAAAATAAAACCACCAAAAGAAATTAAGGTATGGGGCCCCGAAAAGGACCTTGTTTGTGGCACAAAGTGGCAAGCTTTTCTGCTTCGCTGAGGTTTACCGGCTTTGGTGCAAGAATTGACAGCGTGCTTGACAACCAGCAAAAACCATACAACAAGCCCATTAACCAGTGACAGCCATGTACCATTCAGGAACTTTCAGGCGTACCAACACGCTACAAGAGGAAGGACATTTATACCCACTGAGAAACCACGGACCCAATTATAATGAGGCCCTCAGGGCACATTGTAGAGTCCAAGTTTGATTTTTTTTTTTCTTCTTCTATCAAGTCAATGTTTTTTTAAGTGAAAATTCTCTTTTGGTTTTATCGGAACGCTTGCAGCAACTAGAGAATGGTCAGTATCACAGTCAGCACTGTGGTAGCTGCGAGTTACTGACACATGGTTCAAGTGCTGCCTCCTTGTGAGAATAAGGTCCAGCTGGTGTCAGTGGCCAGATCTTGGATGTTTCCATGACAACCTTATGGCGGTCTTTAGTTTTGAAAAAGGAGTTTGTGATGCACAAGTCACTTCTAGTGCAGAATTCCAGTAGTCTTTGCCCATTTTCATTCATGTAGCCAACATTATATTTCCCAAGACAAACTGGCCATGAGTTTGAGTCTGACTCTATGAGAGCATTAAAATCACCAAGTTTATAGATGCTGTCAGATTTATAAATTGATTTCACTGTATTATCTAGTTCACATAAAAAGAATCCTTTGCGTCTTCTGCTGTCACTTCCTCCAGTTGGACTCTCAACTGATCCTATCAGTGAATTCTTTACTGCAAATCCCACTCCATACATTCTGATTTCTTCCTGGCCTCTCCCTTTCGAGAAAAATGTAAAGTTATTTTCTCTAATAGACCCATCCTCTGGCAGACGGGTTTTCTGTAGACCAGCAATATTTATGTCAAATTTGCCGAGTTCGGCATCAATGATAGCCGTTTTTCTCACATCATTAATGTTTTCCAGGTCAATGGAAAACCCTGGACACATGGTCCTCACGTTCCAAGAGCCAAGTCGAAGCTTGGGGTTATGTTTTTTTTAATTGCCTGGTGCACTGGTTTTACAGCCTGCAGTTCGGGATTTTGTCCTAGCTCCAAGCACCCATTGAAGAATACAAGCTGTGGCGGATCCACACCTTATTCGCTGGGGGCTGCCCAGCTTTAGGCGGGCGGTAGTTGATCAGTGACATCTGAAGATGTCTCCCAAAGTCAAAGGCAACCCGTGGCGCCCCTGTCAACGCCAACTGACAAGGATTTATAACCTGTAACTGCTGCCTCTTGATTAAGGCCAGGGATGAAATTCCTCCTCTCCATAGCACAAAGTCTGCGCAGTATTGTAGAGACCATATGATGTCCATGCGTAATGACCCCCCCCCCTCCCCACCTCGACCTGCCTTGTTTACTCCAAAGGAAAGGTAAAACCAGTACGTTTGGAACGAGACAGGTTGCAGAAGCTGCCGAATCAGAAGATTAGTGCTTTATCTGTTCGCCTGTCAGAGCTTTCCTCCTAGACCAGCTGCCAGCCAAGGCCAAGGGCCTGGTCTGCACTGCCATAGCATAAAGTTTTTAGGTTGCATTTTATCTTCCTAGAATAAGGCTAGTATCCTCCCAAATGCGCTTCTCCGCCCGAAGCCGTTGGCACAATATGGGATGTTGGGTTAGTATACGCCGCCCAACATTCGGCGTAACAAAAGAGAAGGGTTATACTACTGTTAAACTTTCGCTAAGTCATATCTGACCAAAACCTGATCACAATCTCCATATACATACGCAGTTATATCTCAGATCACTTAATCTACACATATACACACATATATATCTCAAATCACTTAATCTACACATATACACACATTTATATCTCAGATCACTTAATCTACACATACACACACATTTATATCTCAGATCACTTAATCTACACATATACATACATATATATCTCACATCACAATCTCACTATACATACACATTTATATCTCAGATCACTTAATCTACACATACACACACCTTTATATCTCAGATCACTTAATCTACACATACACACACATATATATCTCATATCACTTAATCTCCACACACACACACATATCAGATCACTTAATCACCTCAAACACGTATGTGCCAGTGTACTAAATCTCCAAAAACATGTATGTGTTATTTCACTAATTGTAAACAAACATTTATGTTGCAGTACCCTAAATCGCTGCAAACATGTATGTTTCAGTACCCTAAATCGCCCCAAATATGTATGTTTCAGCACCCTAAATCGACCCAAACATTTATGTTTCAGTACCCTAAATCGCCCCAAATATATGTTTCAGTACCCTAAATCGCCACAAATATTTATGTGTCAGTTCACTAAATCTCCACAAACATGTTTGAGTCAGTTTACTAAATCTCTACAAACAAGATTGTCTCTTCGTTTAGTAAATCTCCACAAACATGTTTGTGTCAGTTCACTAAATTTATACAGACATGTGTGTGTCAGTTCACTAAATTTTTACAGACATGTGTGTGTCAGTTCACTAAATTTATACAGACATGTGTGTGTCAGTTCACTAAATTTATACAGACATGTGTGTGTCAGTTCATTAAATCTCAAAAACTATTTATGTGTCAGTTAACTAAATCTTCTCAAACATGTATGTTTCAGTACCCTAAATCGCCACAAACATGTATGTTTCAGTAACCTAAATAGCCCCACATATGTATGTTTCAGTACCCTAAATCGCCACAAACATGTATGTTTCAGTACCCTAAATCGCCACAAATATGTATGTTTCAGTACCCTAAATCGCCACAAACATGTATGTTTCAGTACCCTAAACCGCCCCAAATATATATGTTTCAGTACCCTAAATCGCCACAAACATGTATGTTTCAGTACCCTAAATCGAACCAAATATGTATGTTTCAGTACCCTAAATCGCCACAAACATGTATTTCGCAGTTCACTAAATCTCTACAAAAATGTATGTATTATAACCCTGAATTGCTCCCCAAAAAGTATATTTGAATCAGTAAGTCTTCACTAATATGTATGTCTGGATCACAAAGTCTTTACAAACATGTATGTCTGGTTTACTAAATCTCCCACTTCACGTTCTGTTACTCTATCTCCCACTTCTCCACCTTGTGACACTTATCTCCCATTTCTCCACTTGTGTCACTTATCTCCCACTTCTGCACGTTCTGTCACTTATCTCCCACTTCTTCAACTTGTGACACTTATCTCCCACTTCTGCACGTTTTGTCACTTATCTCCCACTTCTTCAACTTGTGACACTTATCTCCCGTTTCTCCACCTTGTGTCACTTATCTCCCACTTCTACACGTTCTGTCACTTATCTCCCACTTCTTCAACTTGTGACACTTATCTCCCACTTCTCCACGTTCTGTGAATTATCTCCCACTTCTTCAACTTGTGACACTTATCTCCCACTTCTCCACGTTCTGTCACTTATCTCCCACTTCTCCACGTTCTGTCACCTATCTCTAAATTCTCTAAATATATTTTTTTTTGACAGCGCTAAAAAGATCAGCAGAAAGCTATTCTTAAGGCGGCGACACACAGACTCAACCCTGGGTCTCATTGGGAAAGATGAAGGCGCTAGACGACTGGCCACTGTCGACCCAGCAGAGGCACAACAGTGGAGCAAGTCGTTTGAAAACTTGTTGTTTGATAAAAGTAAGTTGTTGTTCTTTGCCGGATGTCAGTGAGATCAATGCTATTGTTAAAAGAGATGTGAGTTAGTTCTTGTTCTTTGATATGTGCATGTGCAATCGATTTTGTTATTTCGACGAAGCGAGACGGATCTAACTCTTTGAGCAAGCTTTGACAATGTTGAAGTGCACCAATTATCAGCTTTCATATACAGTCAAGAAATTCATCACCTTATTCAGGATAAAGCTCGCTTGGGGATGTGATTATTTTATACAGATGGTTCGGTGTCAGGACGCAAAAGAGGTTCTTAACAAAAGCTAATGGTGTCGTTTGGTGCAGGAGAGCCTAGCTTATGATACCACGACATCCAATTTAAGAATGGAGGTAGAGTTCGTCACTGCAGCCTTCTGCTGACTAGAAAAAACGCTACACACAAAAATCGTGATTGTAAGTGACCCAGAAAGCATGCAGAGGAAGGTGAGTACAGGCACGCTTCCCGTAGAAGGACATGCTTCGCTTTGAAGGTAAAGGGTGAAGATCCTTGTCTGGATTTTTGCCCAGGGTCACTTAGGAAATGAATAATGAATTGGCAGACAGATTTTCTAGCTCTACACAACTTGGTGGAATACTGATGCATGATAGGACAGACGTGGCTGAGGCCTTGTGGGAGCCCGCACACAATTTTGAACAGTAAATGGATCATCACACTCTGTTAAAAGTGATGCAGTGAGGAGTGACAAAGGGATTTACCCAAAGATCGACGTGTCAGACTTTTACTGGTAACATTTGTTTTTAAACTCTGCGCTGGCTGCTGAAGATAGGGATAGAGCGCTCATATGAATGTCTGAAGCCGGAATAATGTGATGTCGGTTCTTGAATCAACTCAGCTCAACTCACCTCTGCCATAGACTCTATGCCTGTCTATTTCTCTATCCCCAGCTGGTCTGGAGCTGTTCCGCGGGTTCCTTATGACGGAACACAGCGACGAGAACATCGAGTTCTGGATGGCCTGCGAGAACTACAAAAATGCCAAGTCCATCAAACAGTTGCCATCAATGGCCATGAAGATATTCAACGATTATGTAGCTGTCCAGTCGAAACGCGAGGTGAGTATACTTGTGCAATTATCTTCCCCGCTGATAACCAGAAGCGACACATCACTGAGTCAGCGTCCCCACTACATATAGATGATAATGCGCAGGAAAACGCTGCAGGGATACATTCTCCTTGTCAGAGGATGACAGGAATTACGATACTGAGGGAACATTCTCATAATGTAGAAGAAACATTAGAATTGTTCAACACATCTCATCAATATTTAACCCAGAGTTCAACACTGTGTTGACCCTTGTGTTAATTAGTGTGTTTATTTGTGCTTTAATTAGTGTGTTCATAAGTGCGTTTATCAGTGTGTTCACCAGTGTGTTCATCAGTGCGTTTAACAGTGTATTCCCCACTGTGTTCAACACTGTTTTTACTTTTATGTTTACCACTTTGTTTACCAGTGTGTCCATCAAAGAAAGGGATATATATATCAGAACATACAGACAAACAGATGTATGTCAGAACACATAGAGATACAGATAAATGTAAGAAAATATATAGAAATATAATCATATCTAAGTACACAGAGAAACTATCAATTGCTCTTCAGAAACTAAAACATCTGAATAAATTATGGAGTGGGACAGACAGAACTACAAAAATCAGATTTCTAAGAGCATGCATCTTTCCCATTGCAACATACACCTGTGAGACGTGGACACCTACTAAACAAGCTACAGAGCGCTCAAGTGCCATTGAATACAAATGTTACAGACAGGTTCTAAAAATATCTAAGAATATCTTAGTTAAAAATAAAAAAAAAAAAAAAAAAAGGAAATGTATGCATACTTCAAAAACTGAATATTAAAGAAGGTTGGCTAATAAAGACAATAAAACACAGAAAATTAAAATATATTGGTAGCTTGAAACGTCATGAAAGTTTAAAGAGGACAATAATGGAGGGGTATATGCCTGGGAAGAGAGGAAGAGGAAGCCCAAAGAGAAGATGGGTGCAGGATGTAACGGATGATCTCCAGATGGATGTAGGGACGCGGGACATCTTGCTTGAGATGGATAAGTTTTCCGGAAATTTATTTTGGGAGCAAAGTTCTGCAAAGGACATGCTCCTGACTGACATAGAGAAACAGATAAATGTCTGAAAGTAGCGAAACAGACATACATCAGAGAATATTGAGAACAGAAAAATCAGAACATTTAGAGAAACATACATATATCAGAGCACATAGAGAAACAGACGAACGTCAGATCACATAGAGGAACAGACAAATGTCAGAGTACATAAAGAAATAGATGAACGTAGATGTCAGAGTACATAAAGAAATAGATGAACGTAGATGTCAGAGTACATAAAGAAATAGATGAACGTAGATGTGAGAGCACATAAAGAATTAGATGAACGTAGATGTCAGAGTACATAATAAAATACATATATTGTCGGCTGTTTCAGATCAACCTGGATTCAACAACAAGAAAGTACACGTACGACAGTGTCAGCTGCAACCCAAACAGGCAGACGTTCGACGAGGCACAGAGACGGGTACAGGCCTTGATGGAGAAAGATTCCTACCGCAGGTTTCTGGAATCTGAGATTTATCACGATCTAGCCTCTGGCAATCTCCAGCAGAAATCTTAGACAAGCTGCAGCATTTCATGAGCTGGACCAGGAGTGGGTACTGGGGGAAGTGACTAGGAGTAGGTACTGGGGAAGTAGAGCAGGAATGGGTACTGGAGGAAGTGACTAGAAGTAGGTACTGGGGAAGTAGAGCAGGAGCAGGTACTGGAGGAAGTGACTAGGAGTAGGTACTGGGGAAGTAGAGCAGGAGTGGGTACTGGAGGAAGTGACTAGAAGTAGGTACTGGGGAAGCAGAGCAGGAGTGGGTACTGGAGGAAGTGACTAGGAGTAGGTACTGGGGAAGTAGAGCAGGAGTGAGTACTGGAGGAAGTGACTAGAAGTAGGTACTGGGGAAGTAGAGCAGGAGTGGGTACTGGAGGAAGTGACCAGGAGTAGGTACTGGGGAAGTAGAGCAGGAGTGGGTGCTGGAGGAAGTGACTAGAAGTAGGTACTGGGGAAGTAGAGCAGGAGTGGGTACTGGAGGAAGTAGAGCAGTAGTGGGTACTAGGGGAAGTAGAGCAGGAGTGGGTACTGGAGGAAGTAGAGCAGGAGTGGGTACTGGAGGAAGTGACTAGGAGTAGGTACTGAAGAAAGTAAAGCAGGAGTGGGTACTGGAGGAAGTGACTAGGAATAGGTACTGGGGGAAGTAGAGCAGGAGTGGGTATTGTTGGAAGGGTAAAAGGAGTGGGTATTGTAGGAAGTAGACATGAAGTGGTATTGTAGGATGGTATTCTATCACATATGGGACATAGAGTCGGTATTGTAGGAAATGGACACGGAGTAGGGGTAGTGTAGGAAACAGACTAGGATTGGCTATTGTAGAAAGTGGACTGGAAGTGGGTATTAGTGAAAGTTGACATGGAGTGGGTATTGTAGAAAGTGGACATGGAGTCCGTATTGTAGAAAATGAACATGGGCTGGGTATTGTAGGAAGCGGACATGGAGAGGGTATTGTAGGAATTAGAATAGGAGTGGGCATTGTAGAAAGTGGACATGGAGTGGTATTGTAGAAAGTGGACATGGAATGGGTTTTGTAGGAAAGGGACATGGAGTCGGTATTGTAGGAAGTGGCCTAGGAGTGGGTATTGTAGGAAGTGGACTAAGAGTGGGTATTTATGAAGTGGACATGGAGTGGGTATTGAAGAAGGGGGACATGGAGTGGGTATTGTATACAGTGGACAGGGTGTGTTTATTGTAGGAAGTGGACTAGGAGTGGGTATTGTAGAAAGTGGACATGGAGTGGTATTGTAGAAAGTGGACATGTAGTGGGTTTTGTAGGAAAGGGACATGGAGTCGGTATTGTAGGAAGTGGACTAGGAGTCGGTATTTTAGGAAGTGGACTAGGAGTGGGTATTGTATGAAGTGGACACGGAGTGGGTATTGTATGAAGTGGACAGGGAGTGATTATTGTAGAAAGTGGACTAGGAGTGGGTATTGTCGGAAGTGGACATGGGGTAGGTATTGTAGGAAGTGGATTGGAGTGGTGTTGTAGAAAGTGGACTAGGAGTGGGTTTTTTAGGAAGTGGTCATGAAAAGGGTGTTCTAGGAAGTGAACTAGGAATACGTATTGGAATCAGTGAAGCAGGAGTGGGTATTGGAGGGGAAAAAAGCATAAAAAGGTATTTAAGGAAGTAGAGCAGGAGTTGGTATTGGAGGAAGTGCAGCAGAAGTTGGCTTTGGAAAATTTATAGCAGTAGTGGGAATTGGAGGGCGAAGAGCAGGAGTTAATATTTGAGGATTTGGTATTAGAGGAAGTAGAACAGGAGTGGGTATTGGAGGAAGAAGCGCAGGAGTGGGTATAAGAGGAAGTAGAGCAGGAATGGGTATTGGAGGAAGTAGAGCAGGAGTGGGGATTGGAGGAAGTAGAGTAGGAGTGGGTATTGGACGAAGCAGAGCAGGGGTTGGTATTGAAGAAAGTAGAGCAGGAGTTGGTTTTGGAGAAAGTACAGCAGGAGTGGGCAATGGAGGAAGTAGAGCAGGAGTTAGTATCAGAGAAAGTAGATCAGGAATGGGTATTAGAGGAAGTAGAGTAGGAGTAGATATTGGAGGAAGTAGAGCAGGAGTTGGTATTGGAGAAAATAGAACAGGAATGGGTGTTGCAAGAAGTAGAGCATGCGTGGGTAATGGAGGATGTGGATCAGGAGTGGAAATTTGAGGAAGTGAATCAAGAGTGGGTATCGGAGGAAGTGAATCAAGAGTGGGTATCGGAGGAAGTGAATCAAGAGTGGGTATCGGAGGAAGTTGATCAGGAGTGAATATCGGAGGAAGTTGATCAGGAGTGGGTACTGGATAAAGTGGATCAGCATTGATTATTGAATACAGCGGACTAGGAGCGGGTATTGGAGGAAGTAGACTAGGAGCGGGTATTGGAGGAAGTAGACTAGGAGCGGGTATTGGAGGAAGTAGACTGTCAGCGACCTTCTATCCTCTCTATTGACTATGGCTCCTATTGCGCTCTTATTGCAGGCAGATAACAAACACAACTACCCTAAACTGCGCTAGCTTTTACATTCACTAGTCACACCGAGCAATTTCCATGAATATACCCTGGACTCAATCCCACATCACTCTCGTGCAACGCTGTCCATGCCACTGTTCTCGCCACGGGAGATTCTGAGGCACATGTAGGTTGCGTGGCCCAGATGTGAGCAAGCAGTGTTACGACCTAACTAAATATACACTTACTGTCTGTCACTAACTGGTCGATAATACATTACACGCTAGCGGTCTTTGTCGCAAACAAGTCATGCTCAAGTCCCCTCCAGTCTGTCCAGAACTTGCTCTGTAGAAAGTTTTTGTTTCCTTGCATCGCTAAATTCGGCTCTCATCTTGTCGTGACTTCTTAATGGTTAGTTTGTAGTCGTCATGACTTCTCTCGTGGCCGGTCCGTGATAGTCTAACTTTGAGTTTGTGTCTGGGTCAGATCGTACAGACACCAGCGATCAACATCAGCATACCTTCTCGTGCCATGGGCTGAACTGGCACCTGACATAAACTAACTAGCAGGTGGCTATTGGAGGATGGTAAGCGTGACTGGTTATGGAGGAAGTAGAGCAGAAGTGGGTATCAGAGCATGAAGTAGAGAAGGAGTTGGTACTGGTGGAGGAAGGGGATTAGTATTGGGTGTCAGAGGAAGAAGACCAGTTGCTGGTATCAGAGGAGGTTGTTACATGAGTGGACATTACAGAAAGTTAACATTTTAGAAAGTGGACCAGGAGTGGACATTACAGAAAGTTAACATTATAGAAAGTGGATCGGGAGTGGAAATCACTTAAAGTATGCAGGAGTGGCCATCACAGAAAGAGGACCAGGAGTGGATATTACAGTGGACATGAGTGGACATCACATAAAGTGGATCAGTAGTGAAACTCACAGGAAGGGGACAGCAGTGGACATTACATAAAGTGGATCAGAAGTGGATATTACAGACAGTCGATCACGAGTGGACATCACATAAAGTGGATCAGTAGTGAAACTCACAGGAAGGGGACAGCAGTGGACATTACATAAAGTGGATCAGAAGTGGATATTACACACAGTCGATCACGAGTGGACATCACAGAAAGTCGACTAGGGTGGATATTAGAGGAAATAGACAGCAGTGGACATAACAGGAGATAGACAGCAGTGGACATAACAGGAGATAGACAGCAGTGGACATAACAGGAGATAGACAGCAGTGGCCATAACAGGAGATAGACAGCAGTGGATATAACAGAGAATAGACAGCAGTGGACATTACAGAAAAAAAAGACATCAGTGGACATAACAGAAAATGGATCAGCGGTGGACATAACAGAAAATGGATCAGCGGTGGACATAACAGAAAATGGATCAGCGGTGGACATAACAGAAAAAGGATCAGCGGTGGACATAACAGAAAATGGATCAGCGGTGGACATTACAAAACGTGGATCAGGAGTGAGCATCACAGGAAAATGGACGGCAGTGGACATTACAGGAAATGGACGGCAGTTAACATAACAGGAAATGGTTGGCAGTGGACATTACAGGAAATGGACGGCAGTGGACATAACAGAAAATGGATCAGCGGTGGACATAACAGAAAATGGACGGCAGTGGACATAACAGGAAATAGACAGCAGTGGACATTACAGAAGGGTTCATATGCGGATATCATAGAAAGTAGTCATGAGTGGACATTACAGAAAGTGGAACAGCAGTGGGTTTGGTTGAAAGTGCACTAGCAGTAAACATCATAGGATGTCGCAGACTTGATTACATATCAGTCAGATCATCTCTGTGTATGAGCACACAAGGGAAATTCTTTACACAGACTATCTGTGAGATTACACAGACTATCTGTGACATTACACAATCTGTGAGATTACACAGACTATCTGTGAGATTACAGAGACTATCTGTGCGTTATTATGATTAATTCTGTGAAATTATCTGTGATTACTGTGATTAATTCTGTGATATTGTTCCTAATTACTGTGATTAATTATCTGTCCCCCATAAATAAATTATTTACTGTATGGGTGAACGTTTTATTGGTTGACTGATTGATTGTGTGACTGTATAATTTTTGTGTCTGATTGTTTGTATAAATATGTGACTAGGTGACTGATTGTCTGTGTGAATGTGTGATTTTGTGACTGATCCCCTGTATAAATGTGTGGTTGTATGATGTAGATTATTCTCCTCGTGACTGAGTGCATTGTAAGTATTTTAGTTACAGTGATAGAAATTAACACAAACACAGGCAAACATGCACACCGGGTCATGCGGGCGGACCAACTTGCCAGCCCTGCACTCATGATTGCGGGGAAAAGCATGGACAGAGCAGATATCGCCAACGCTGTACGGACTGGGCTAGTGGATAATGGGGAATCCCTGATACTGATACAATTGCGTGACATGGGAGTAAAGCGTGGTGAAGCACGTCTTTGGCGTCTTTAAGACTGATATAGGAGACAATATAACCATTAATAGAAGTTCTTTGGAGTGGCTGCTGCATCGAAGGACTGAGCACGCATGAGAATACCCAGTGTGCA